GGAAGGAAGGAAGGAAGGAAGGAAGGAAGGAAGGAAGGAAGGAAGGACAGGATAAGGGAGGGAGGGATCAATCAATTCCATCTGCTATCAGAGCAGGTAACTACTCTTCCTTAAATGTTTTAACTTGGCCCTAAACCTAAACTATAACAAAACAGGGTCCCTTACTTCCCCAGGGTCCTAAATTGAGAAGTTGGGTTGGTATGATGAACAGCATTCTCTTTCTAAAGACACTTTCCTTTCTGGATCACATGCAGAAAGGGGAACCCCTTGCTTATCCGAATGCTGAAGAAGATTAATTTAGGCTGCACTGCCTTTTTTTTTTTTTTTTTACCTCAGGGACAAATAAGGAGGCAACTTAACTTGAACAACATAGCAGCTAGGCCAAATAATTAGAATTTAAACCACGGCTTTCTAAAACAGACTAGAGCTGGTTAGCTGAGAAAATTAAGAATTTTGTCCGTTCTGGCAGGAACCCCCATTTATTTATCTTTTAAAATTTAAATAAGGGTTCAAGTTAGTTGCATTCTCTCTTCCTGACACCCCCCCCCCCCCCCAAATCGCATGGTTTAGAGACTTAAAAGCCAAGACTAGACTTGGAAGCCAGTTTAGCCTTCCGCTCAAGTCATCCTTTAAAGACAAGGGCTATTTTTATGAGATGATGATGATTTATTCATAAGACATGCATATATCTCCACCCACTTGCCCACCCCCAAAAATAATTCAAGTCTGCTCCATTTTCGAATCTGTTCCTTTCTGGCCCTTTTATTCCAAGGGCCATTTTGAGGAGTTTCATTATAAATTTGTCTTCCTACAGCCCAATATGGTGTTGCAAATGGGAGGGGGAGCCATAAATAGCTTTTTTTTTTTTTGCAAGAGGTGCTAGAAAGGGGGGGGGGGGGAGGAGGGGGGGAGGGGGAAGGAGGTAAAAACATCCTTTTTTTTCTCTAAGGAACAAAAAAAAAAAAAAAAAAGCCAATATATGAAAGAGATCTAATCAAAAGGCTTCAATCCTCTTTTGTAAAAAATAAAAAATAAAAAATTAGGCCTTATCCTGCATCTAAAGCAGCCATCTTTTCACCCCCCCCCCCAAGATGTAATTCCCATTCTCTTCCCCTTAAAAATGCATTATTTTTTCCATTTTTGCCAGGGGTGGGGCCAGGTTATGCTAAAACTCCCCCCTCCCTCGTTCAGCCACCAGGGAGAAAAGGCAGAACAGGTGCATCCCCTGGGGAATTTGGCCCTGTTCTCAGCCTGACTTCAGAATTGGGGGGGGGGGGGGGGGAAACGGAGGAGGAGAAATAAATAAGATACATGCAAAAGCTCGGATCTGGGTCCAAAGCCGCCTATCTCATTCTAGAAGAGGCACCATCTGTGCAAAAAAAATGCATTTTAAGAAAAATTCAAAAAAGTAAATGCATTTTTTTAAAAAAGATTTTTTAAAAAATAATAATAATAATAATCGGTCGGGGCCTCCCGAAGAGGCCCAAATGCGCGTTGACACCAGGAAAGGTTCATAGCTGAGGGGGAGGAAAGCATCTTGTCATTGCGCCCCCCTTTCACTCCAAACCTCCCACCTCCCTCCCTTTTCCTATCCTTTCGCCACGGGGTTATTTTTAAAACCCAAAGATCCCAGCCCGGGGTTTTTTTTAGATCGCGGGTAAAACTCCGGGGGGGGGGGGGGGGGGGGGGGGGGGGGGGGGGGGGAGCACAGCGCGTGCTCCACCCGGCCCCATTGAGAAATAAACGCCCCATTAATATTATTATTATTATTATTATTATTATTATTATTAAAATAATCTCTTTCTTTGGCTCGTGGCTGCCTGGGTTTGCAAACCCCTTCCCCGCCGCCCCCCCGCCCCCCGCAAAGGAACCGGGGTCAACGCGTCTAGACGGCTTTCTTTTTTTTTCTTTTTGCAAATCGCGTGCGGTGGGGGGGGGGTGGCCGAGGCAGACGGCCCTTTGCAAGGTCAACTGCAAAGCCCGGGGGGGGGGCGCGCAAGGAGCAGTTTTGCGCGGCTCCCACCCTCGCTGGGAAAGAAATAAGGAATAACGGTAGAATAATGGAAAGGGGAGGGGGGAAGGGAATTTAGAGATAAGGTGCCCTTGCTCTCTCTTGCGTGTTGTGTGTGTGTGTGTGTGAGAGAGAGAGAGAGAGAGAAAGGACGGGGGAATCAAAAGAAGAGATGCGCCAAAAAGTCACCCCAAGAGCGGTGGGATCGCTTTTCCTCTCCACCATGACCCCCTTTTTTCCAACACCCTCCTGCGCAGCTCTGTGTGTATGTGTGTGATGGAGGGGTGTGTGTGTCTGTCTGTCTGTCTGTGTGTGTGGGGTGTGTGTGTGAGGGCCCCGATCTACAACCTTCAGCTGGGGAAAGCCGCTTGCAGCCCCCCCCCCCCCGATTCCTCGGAGGCGCTGCGAGCGAAGCGGAGCGCTGCGCCCCGCCGGAGCTCTTACCGGCAGCGGCGGTTGGAGACGAGAGGCTGGCGAGCTCGGCTCGGAGCGCTTTATTGCGCGGAGCGAGTCCACCTATTGACGGCGGCGGCGCAATGCAGTCGCCCCGCTCTCTCCTCCCTCCCCTCCTCCTCGCACTACGGCATTGCGGTAGAGAGCGGAGGCGGGGAAGGAGGAGGAGAGGGGAGGGAGGGAGGGAGGGAGGGGCGGTCGGAATACGAATGCCTCGCTAATTGGGGGGCACGTCGGGCCACCCCGGCCCCGGCAGCAGGTGGGATAGCACGCCGAGATGCGCAAGCGAAGCGCGCAGCTTCCTCCTTTGGCTGCCCGATTCAGGACGTTTGGAAAAGGTGGGGGGCGGGGGCGGAGGAAGGATGCCTTCCCACGACCTGATAGACCCAGGTCAGGGGAAGAGAGCGAGGGAGAACGGAGGGGCGCCCGCCCAGATGCCCCAACTCGGTTCTTTTTAGGGAATCGTCGCTCGATGGTTGAGAAGAGTGTGTTGGGGATGGGAATGAGGGACAACCTCCGCCCGTTGGGTACCGGGAAGGTTCGACTCGGAAAGCTTTCCTTTCTGGGTAACATGTTCTGGATAACATGGGGAAATCAAGTTTCCCCGGGTTGGAGGGGGGGGTCGTGCGGATGGTTTAGGATGCGTTCGGGGGAGGCATGTTTCAAACGCGATATGGATTTGGAATCTGGGTTTGCGGGAAGCTTTCAAGCGCATCGGACCAACTCGGAAAGCCCGGGTGACATTTCAGCTTCCAGGGGTGTTGGAGGTGCCGTGGGAATGCTGTGATGGTGTCCCTTGTAGGGATTGCGAACGCGATGGATCTGGGTTGCGGGAGGGTTTCAGCGCACGTGGTCAAATTCAGGGGGTGGGAGGGGCAATTCAGAAACCTGGGATTCAAGGCGTCGTGTGAACGCGGCGCAGCCAGCTTTGTTAATGTGGGGATACGACGGATTTCCTTCCCTGAAGGCTGTTGGGGAGGGGGGGTGCTTCACAAGATTACTGTATTTAAAAGATCCGTAAAGGCATGGTGAGAAGCAAGGCGTGGAAACGCCAAGAAGACTACAGCAGAAAAAGAAGAAAAGGAGAGTGAATAAATACTATATAATCCTTTTAGCCCCGCTCCTAAACTCAATTAAAAGGAGGGGATTGCCTATCAAAGTTTATTGACTGAAGGGGGAGAGGGTCCTGTCTCTTGTAGCTGGCTTCGTGGGAGCCCCAAAACGTCACCCATTGATAATTTTAGGAATATCCATGAAAGAGAAAATACGTTTTGTTCCAAGCTCATGGAGTTTCCCTGTTCAACATGCAGGCAGGTTTTGTTCCGCGCACAATCCAACCATGGGTATTTCAATCTTGCAGGATCCAATCTGGCTTGGTCACTGGATCCCTCTTTTCAGTCTTGACATGGAGTAGCTAAGGCAGCAATTCTATGCACCAAAGCATTCGTGCGTATGACTTTTTAAACTAAGCATCCTTACCAGAGGTGGTATTCAGCAGGTTCTGACCAGTTCTGGAGAACCGGTAGCGGAAATTTTGAGTAGTTCAGAGAACCGGCAAATACCACCTCTGACTGGAGATTTTACAGTCTCCTTCCCCTGCCACGCCCACCAAGCCACGCCAACAGAACCGGTAGTAAAACAATTTGAATCCCACCACTGATCCTTACCTAGCCGAAACTCCTTCCCTCAAAATGACGCTATAGAGCACTGCACACCAGAACAACTAGACACAAGTTTTTTCCCCCGAACGCCATCACTCTACTAAACAAATAATTCCCTCAACACTGTCCAACTATTTACAAAGCCTGCACTACTATTACTGTTAATCTTCTCATCACTCCTTATCACCCATCCCCTCCCACTTGGGACTGTATGACTGTAACTTTGTCGCTTGTATCCTCACGATTTATATTGACTGTTTCCTAATATGATTTGATCGCTTATTGTACCCTATGACTATTATTAAGTGTTGTACCTGATGATTCTTGACAAATGTATCTTTTCTTTTATGTACACAGAGAGCATTTGCATCAAGACAAATTCCTTGTGTGTCCAATCACACTTGGCCAATAAAAGAATTCTAATTCTAAAAGGAGGAATGTACCGGGTGGTAATTGAACTCTGCAATTTTAAGATGTGTGGACTTCAACTCCCAGAATTCTCCAGCCAGCATAGCTGACTGGGGAATTCTGGGTGTTGAAGTCCACACGTGTTAAAGTCTTCAAAGGGCTGTCCAAGGTAAAGCACAATGCAGCAATCCAGTCTTGGAAGTCACTAAAGCCTAAATTACAAAACAAAAACAAAAACAGGCCTCTCCTCCAGGTAAGGACACACCTGGTTCATCAACTGCTGCTGCTGCTAAAAGGTCCCAGGTACAGGTAGTCCTCAACTTATGACCGTAATTGAGCCCAACATTTCTGTTACTGAGACAGTTGTTAAGAACAGGGGCCCCTTTTTCTTGCCAGAGTTGTTAAGTGAATCACTGCAGTGGTTTAAGTGAGTAACACGGTTGTTAAGTAAATCTGGTTTCCCCCATTGACTTCGCTCGTCAGAAGGTTGCAAAGGTGATCGCGTAACCACAGCATCCTGCAGCCATCATAAATATGAACCACTTGCCAAGCATCTGAATTTTGATCACATGACCCTGGGGGTGGCTGCAATGGCCATAAGTGTGAAAAACGGTCATAAGTCATTTTCAGTGCCATTGTAACGTCAAACGGTCACTAAATGAATGGCTGTGAATCAGGGGTCCCCAAACTTGGCAACTTTTAAGACTTGTGGACTTCAACTCCCAGAATTCTCCAGCCAGCATATGCCAAATTTGGAGACCTCTGGATTAAAGAATTGTAGTTTAAACTGCAAAGCCTTTAAAGAGACAAATATTATCTTTTATTGATACCTAGTTCCTTTAGCTCAGGGGTCCCCAAACTCAGCAACTTTAAGATTTGTGGACTTCAACTCCCAGAGTTCTGGGAGTTGAAGTCCACAAGTCTTAAAGTTGCCAAATTTGGAGACCTCTGCTGTAAATCAACGACTACCTGCATTGTGTCCCTGCTCACCATCAATTCTGGATCCAACCTCCATTCTGAACAGGCATCCAGCCACACCCCAAAATGGGTAACAATTCTCCCCTATCCGTACATATTTACTTTCTGCTATAAATTTATTATTTAACCAATTTCTATGGCTAATAAGCTTGATACCATAATGCCATATTTCTGCTTGTACATCTGGTGGTTTTATCACCTGAAGGTGTTCAGGAGTCCCAGAGACATCACTCCAGAGTCCACAAGAAAGAAGAAATATGTGTATATTGGAGCACCATCCTGGGATTAAGGAAATCTAGCACTTTAGCAGCACCAGATAAATAAGTTGGAAAAAAACGTGATTCCCGCTACAATTTTCTGATAGCCCTAAAGGAGAAAGGAATAAAATAGAGAGCTTTCGTGTTCTCTGAGCTTGGTTGTGCATTGATGTTATCTAGTTGGGTCACGAAATGCCAAGTTTGGAGAGGATTGCACAGACCTCCTCCTCATCTCCACAAGCACCCCTCTCCCTTCTAACACTGATGATGTTACCTAGATGGGTAATGAAACATCTGCAGGCAAACAACCAAGCTGAGAGAGAGCACCAAGCCTGAGGAACAGATACTGTAGTCTCTTCTGTAGGCCTTAAGTCATGAAAGCTGTCTGGGGGACTTGGGCCAATCAGAATCAGTCTAGAGCTGGAAGGGACCTTGGAGGTCTTCTAGTCCAGCCCCCTGCTGAAACAGGAGACCCTATATCATTTCAGTCAAGTGACAGTCCAGTCTCTTCTTAAAAACCTCCAGGGTTAGACCACCTACAACTTTTGGTGGCAAGCTGTTCCACTGGTTAATTGTCCTCACTGTTTGCAAGTTTCTCCTTAATTCCAGGTTGCTTCTCTCCTTGATTAGTTTCCATCCGTTGTTTCTTGTTCTGCTGTCTGGTGTTTTGGAAAATAAGTTGAACCCCGCTCCTCTTTGTGGCAGCCCCTCAAATACTAGAACATTGCTCTCATGTCCCCCCTTATTCCTTCTTTTCTCTAGACTGGCCAAACCCAAATCCTGCAACCGTTCTTCACATGTTTTAGTCTCCAGGCCTTTAATCGTCTTAATACCAGGAGACGGTGAGTTCTAGTCCTGCCTTAAGCATGAAGTCCAGCTGCGGGATTTTGGGCTAGTCACTCTGAGCCCAACCCATCTCACAGGGTTGTTGTGGGGAGAATAAGGAGGAGGAATATTGGATATGATCCGCTGCCCTGAGTTATTTGTAAAAAAAAAAATGAAGGCGTGATACAAATACATCAGTCCGGAGCTCTCACTCAATGCATTAATGACCAGACTGAAATGACCACAGTTTGGGCACAATGCAAAGTGTGTCCAAACATTCTTTGAAAAGACTATTATTTTGGAAAGAGTAGAAGTAAAGAAAATAGCATGACCAACATCCTGATGTGTGTGTGTTTGTGTGTGTGTATTGTTGTTAGTTGCAAAGTCATATCCAACCCATTTTGACCCCATGGACAACGTTCCTCCAGGCCTTCCTGTCCTCTATCATCCCCCGGAGTCCATTTAAGCTCACGCCGACTGCTTCAGTGACCCCATCTGCCCATCTCATTCTCTGTCGTCCCCTTCTTCTATTGCCTTCAATCTTTCCCAGCATTCGGCTCTTCTCCAGCAAATCCTTCCTTCTCATGAAGTGGCCAAAGTCTTTTGAGTTTCTTCTTCAGGATCTGGCCTTCTAAAGAACAGTCAGGGTTGATCTCCTCTAGGACTGACCGGTTGGATCGCCTTGCAGTCCAAAGGACTCGCAGGAGTCTTCTCCAGCACCACAATTTGGCGCTTAGCCTTTCTTATGGTCCAACTTTCATACATATACATGTATATATGTATGTATGAAATATATAAAAACCTGGAAACAACAAGGCAAATAAAGCAACTCTCAATTACCGGATTTCATGGCCCTCTGATCTTTGTCACATTTCAAGCAATTGCACCATTTTCTACACTTTAAAATAC